AAAATATAAATAGTTTATTGTAACGCAGGCGCGCACATATCTAGCATCGCCGAGAGCATTGCTCGCGAAAGCTCTCGCTGCGGTATGATAGGGATTGCGGCAAAATATTAATATATTTATGTGCTTTTGCGGAAATAACAGCTTACCTTCGATTGACGTAAGTAACCCGATGATATCCAAATTAATTTCACGCGCTGGAATTTACCAAAACAAGGAAGACTACACTACTGCTAACCATATAACAACACAACGCAACCGCCCTCCCGTCTGACGTTAGGAAGCGAATGGCGGCGCTAGAGAGGGAGAGGAGAAAATTTTTGGGGGAAAGAGGAATCGTAGGTGGAAAGGAGGAAAGTTGTCGCTACCTGTAAAAACGAAAAAATATCCAGGGACGTTAAGTGTGTTCCCTCATTCTAGAAACATTTAAGAAGTTGTAAGAGATCTCGTCTCTCTCAGTCGTACTCGGTCGCAAGAGTGTGAACGGGCCTTTACAAGTTTAAAACGTTTTAATTTAATTGTTTTTCAATAGTTTGTTTTTAGAGGCATGACTAAATTTCATTTTATACAGTGGAACTGCCGCGGTCTTTTACGTAATATGGACGATGTTAATTTTTTATGGACAATTAACGTCCTATTGCTCTCTCTTTACAAGAGACACACCTCAATGATCGTCAGAAGTCAGTATTGCGCCGCCATCAAGTTTTTAGAAAAGATCGCCCTGCATCAAATTCATCTGGTCGAGTAGCTGTGGTTGTCCAGAATGGAGTCGCCTGCTCTCACGTTCCTCTGGCTACGCCTCTTGAAGCTGTGGCTGTACGACTTCTTTTGGACCGCCTTATTATGTCGTTTCTATTTATATTCCATCTAACACATCACTGCATCTTCATGATCGTCAACGGCTGGTTACACAGCTTCCTCATTCATTTTTACTGTTAGATTTTAATGCTCACCACCCCCTGTGGGATAGCGCCCGTCAGGATTCGCGTGGTGGGGTAATTGAGCGATTTTTATTATTTTTGGGGCTGTGTTTTATGAATACGAGAGAGCCAACCTTTTTTAGCGCTGCTCACAACTCATTCACAACTATTGACCTTTCAATTTCATCCCCCTCAGTGTTTTCTACATTTACTTGGAAGGTTTTAAATAACCCTTTTGGGAGCGACCACTTTTCAGCCGTTTTGGAGAGTCAGGTTTCTGTTCCAAGCCTCTGAACGCAGTCCACGTTGGAAACTGGAAAAGACAGACTGGGGTTCTTTTAGCCTAAACTCGAAGCTCAAACCTTGCATGTTCTTACCATTAACACATGATGAAGCCACCACATACATTACAGCTCAGATCATAAATGCTGCCTTTCGCTCCACCTCTCCGACTTCATGTAACATTAGAAAAAAAATGTAAGCCATGGTGGAATAAAGAATATTCCGCCACTAAGAAAAAACAGGATAAGGCTTGGGGTATATTTTGGAGATATCCAACATCTCTGAATTTGTTAGGGTTTCAAAGAAATAGAGCTCAAGCTCGTTCAACCAGGAAACAGGCAAAGAGGAAGTTTTGGAAAGGTTATCTGACCTCTATCAGCAGCTGCGTCTTAGCGAAGGAACTGTGGGAACGACTTCACAAAATCGAAGGCAAATGCCGCTGCTTACAGTTTCTATTTTACCTTCAGTGGATTCATTGCGCGACCAGGCTAATGTGTTGGGCGAACATTTTGCAGCCATTTCCAACTCCTCCGATTACTCTTCAGCGTTTTTGAAGTTTAAGACAGATGCAGAAAGAACTAAAGTCAGCTTGGCGCGAGGCGGCTCAGCACCCTACAATTACCATTTACGATGGTCGAGCTCCAAATGACTTAATGACCGGAAAAACTCGTCCCCTGGTCCTGACCGAATACATTATGAGCTGATCTGACACTTCTCGAATTGATCACTCGCTGCCCTTCTCATTTACTTGAATGGTCTGTGGAAAGACTGACACTTCCCTTCCGAATGGAAGCGGGCAGAGGTTATTCCGCTGCTGAAGCCCGGAAAAGACCTTTTCTTTCCTTCCAGTTACAGGCCAATAGCACTGACGAGTTGCTTGGGGAAAACTTGTGAATGGTTTGTTAATAAACGGCTTGTTTATTTTCTCGAACAACACAATATTTTGGACATAAATCAGTGCGGCTGTCGACCTGGACGCTCCATGACCGACCACTTAGTTCGGCTGGAGACAATTGTACGCGAGGCATTTGTGAATAAGCAGCATTGTGTATCTGTCTTTTTTAGCTTAGAAAAGGCTTATGATACAACTTGGAAACATGGCATCCTGAGCGACCTTTTTATGTATGGAGTACGTGGCCGATTGCTTCACTGCATAGACAACTTCCTGTGTGGACGCACTTCCCGTGTCCGGCTAGGAACTACATTATCTGATTAGTATGTTCAAGAAAACGTTGTTCCTCAGGGCGGAGTCCCAAGTGTCACTCTCTTCGCCGTAAAAATTAATTCCCTCTGTCAGGTCATACCCTCTTCCGTGTTGTACTCCCTTATGTGGATGATATTCAGATTTCTGTGGCATCTTGTAATATGTCTAGCTGTGGAAGGCAGCTGCAGCTAACCATAAATAAAATGACTAAATGGGCAAATGAAAATGGTTTTAAGTTCTCTTCAGACAAAACAATCAGTGTTTAAATGGAAATAGCAATGCAGTAAGACCAGAGCATAAGTTCCTGGGAATGATTTTTGACCGTAAACTTAACTTTGTACCTCACCTCAAGTGGCTGAAGCAAAAGTTTATGCAGACTATGAATATCTTAAAAGTTCTTTCTTACAAGTCTTGGGGCTCCGATAAAAGGTGTCTGCTTCGTCTCTATTCCTCTCTCGTACGATCATGTCTTGAATATGGTGCTATTGTGTATGCATCTGATCGGCCATCCGCATTGAAAATGCTTGATCCAGTGCACCATCCTGGGTTGCGTATAGCAAGTGGTGCTTTTCGAACATCCCCTATCCCAAGCTTGTATGTTGACTCTAATGAAATGTCACTCGAGGAAAGGCGGCAGCTCCTTAGTCTAGTCTATGTTTACAAAGTTTTATCGGACTCTAGTCATCCAGCTCACACTTATATCCGAGAGTAGATTTTGTCGTACCGTTGACCACAAGCCAACTGTTGGTCGACCTTTGAGTCTTCGTTTTGAGAGCCTTCATCTCTCCTTTGGCCTGCCTCGTGAAAATGTCAACCTCATAGAAAGTGCATGTCATACTGCCCCATGAAATATCAAGCCTATAGTTTGTGATAGGTACGTCACAAAATTTAATAAACATAATGTCTCCCCACTCATTTTACAACACGAATTTCTTGCACTGCAATAAAAGTACAAGAATTATCATCAATTTTACATCGACGGAGCCAAGTCCTAAACGTATGTAGGCTCTGCTGTTCATTCTAATTTGTTTACCCATGTGACACGGCTAAATAATGTTGCTAGCAATTTTTACTGACGAGTTATATGGCGTGCTGTCAGCACTTCACTATATTATCCGGAGCAAAGTGATGATAGCAGTTCTTTTTGTAGACTCCCGGAGCGTTGTTACTGCAGCATGTTCACTTAATCCAACCAAGAACAAGCTGACTCAACTGGTGCGTGCTAAAGTTCAACTGGGCCTCGGAGATGGGAAGGATATTAAGTTTTGTTGGATCCCGAGCCATGTGGGCATTGCAGGCAACGAGGCTGCAGATAGGCTGGCCGCCTCGTCGCGTAAGCTCTTACCATCACACGCACGCATACCGTACCAAGACCTAACAAGGCCCATACGGCGTTCACTTCTAAAACTCTGGCAGTCCGAGTGGCATTTGGCCGATAAGAACAAACTTCATATCATGAAGCCAAACATCGGTACCTGGGAAAGCTCCTATAACCGGAGCCGTTTCCGTGAGGTTTTTCTCTGCAGGTTGAAGATCGGCCACACCTTCTTCACCCATTAATACCTACTTGTTGGTGAGGAACCACCAGTGTGCGACCACTGTGGAGACACTTTGAACGTTCTACATATTTTTCTTGGCCCTGGTCTTCTACAACAACACAAGTTCTTCTTTCCTGAGCTTTTCAACTACTGTATCCCTTTTCATCTTACCCTGTTCCTAGGGGAACAGCTTCTAATATCGATTGACCGTCTCCTAGCTTTTCTAGAAAATATAGCGATTTTACACAAACTATAGTGGAAATACTTTCTTGGTACATCGATTGTAGTTCATTTCAGTTTACGTAGTTTGGCGCAGTATGGCCATCGTAGCTCTTGCGCCATAAAACCCGCAAACAACAACAACAATCGGAGCCCCTTTAATTGTATTTCGTAGTTTGAATCACGTTCTGGGGAGTGTTTTCAAGTTCGCACTTGCATATGCGGCAGAGGCTTTGTGTAATGTGTTCGTTTTTTTCTGCTAATTTTTAGCATATTTTTGATCTACAGCGTGCAAAGAGCTTTCTTGGCGTTATCGGTGTAATCCAGACTTGTCGGCCTCTCTTTGGCCCAAAATACAGTGGCGACTTGTCATTTGATTGCCTTTGCAATCTAATGACGGGGGTTTCTCCATCAAATTGTATCTTTTAACAGCAACGAAGGATCAACTCTATTTCATCGCCGGAGCTGAGGGATTCAGCTCCGGTGTATAACCGGATTTGAACGGAAGCCCTGGAAGCGGGTTGAGCCGGATTGAAAGTGGATGCAAAATTAGGGAGAAAGAAACTTCCAGTCTCTCGGATTAAACCTGACATTTGTTCACGCCCAACTTCAGAATCGGAGGGGAGGTATTTTTTGTCTGGTATTTATCTGACCTTTTTGTACAGGTTGAGCCAAGTGGGGCAAGCTTACCTTGATGCCCAATCGAAGACCGCAGCCGATGGAAGTGTAGAATTTGAGGGAAAATCGTTCCACCTTCTTAGCAAAAGCTTCCCGTGTAGCCTTATCTTTCACCTCTTTGAGAGGCTGTAGAACGTCACATCGCTTGTAAAACCTAACAATGCCCACCATCTCGCCGTCGTTTATCACGTGGCGAATGAGGTGACCGAAGGAGTGTCGCAAGAATCCGATCCTATTGTTGACCTGGGATCGATTGTGAAGATTTAAAATAAAAATCAGAAAAGCTAGGTTAATCAGACTCAGACATGGCACAAAAATAACAAGTGATGAAAAGAATTCGCAAACACAGAAGTTTATGAAGAGTCCAACGGAAAAGGCGTTTGCACTTTTCATATTCATTGCTCATGTTGGATCACAAGTTTGGAGCTTGTGCTCATTCATGATCCTGCCTCCTTAAGATACGGTCTTTTAGACAAAATTTAACTTTAAGTTTAGGGGTCCCCGAATTTTAATTTTGAAATTATTTTTTTAATTTTACGTTTCTCCAAGAAAAAATGCGCCCTAAGCATTAATTGCCATTCTGAACAGATAACAAATGACATCATACACAGGACTGAAAAACGTTAACGCGACGAATTATCTTCGCATCCTGGCCATTTACAAATCTCCAGACAACATGATGCTCTGATTTTTTTTCAACATATGACAAACTGTGGCAAAACCGAATACGCTAACTTGGCCCAAGTTTGGTATTTTTGCAGGGCCTAAATTCGGCCAAATAAGATTTTTCTTCCATGCGTTAGATAGTGCCAACTTGCGTTTCTTTTGCTTTCATCTAGTTTGCCACATAATTGTCCAACATGAGTCAAATACGTCATGACTCACAAACTTGAGTAAAATATATCACGTATCAACCATATAACCTGCAGTGAAACATTATTCAGGCACTTGCTTGGTAATTTAGGCCCAAAGTTGCCAGGTGAAACCGCAACTACGAGCAGTGAAGCTAAATTCTGGCACTAGCTTGACCGTTTAGGTCTCAAATTGCCAGAGGAAAACCCAGCAATCATGAGTGAAGCCTAGTTCTGGCACCTGCTTGGCAACTTGGTGCCGAAGTTTTCAGCTGAAAACTGAACGCTCAAAAGTGAGGGCCAATTTTCGCACTTGCATGGATATTTAGGTCCAAGGTCGCCAAGTGAAAACCGAACAATCAGAACTGAAGCCTAATTCTAGCAAATGATTGTCAATGTAGGCCTAAAGTTGCCAGGTTCAACGCAAACTACAAGCAAAGAAGCTTAATTCTTGCACTTGCTTGACAATTTAGGTCCCAAGTTGCCATAAAAAAACCCAAAATAAGAAGTGATACATAATTTCGGTACGTGCTTGGCAATTTATGTCCAAAGTTGCCAGGTAAAAACTGCACGATCAGAAGTCAAGGACAATTCTGGCATACGCTTGGTCATCTAGGTGCAAAGTTGGCGAGTGAAAACCGAACAATCAGAAGTGAAGCCTAATTCTGGCACTTGCTTAGCGAATTAGGCCCAAAGCTACCAGGTGAAACACGAACTGCAAGTAGTGAAGCTCAATTCTTGCACTTGCTTGACAGTTAGGTACAGTGTTGCGAGGTGAAAACTGAACAACCTGGAGTAAGGCTTAATTCTGGCTCTTGTTTGGCAATTTAGGTTCAAAGTTGCCAGGTAAAAAGTGATCAAAAGTGGAGGCCAAACCTGCGAGTTGCTTAAAAATTTAGGTTCAAAGTTGAAAGTGAAAGACGAACAATCAGAAGTGAAACCTAATTCTGGCACTTGCTTGGCAATTTAGGCCCGAAGTTGCCAGGTGAAACCCGAACTACAAGCAGTCAAACTTAATTCTGGCACTTGCTTGACAATTTAGGTCCAAAGTTGCCAAGTGAAAACTCAACAATCATGAATGAAGCCTAATTTTGGCAGTCGGTTGGCTATGTAGGTCCAACGTTGCCAGGTGAAAACTGAACGACCAGAAGAGAAGGCTATTTCTGGCAGTTGCTTGGATATTTATGTACAAAGTTGCCAAGTGTAAATCAAACAATCAGAAGTGAAGCCTAATTCTGGCACTTGTTAGGCAATTTAAATCCAAGTTGCAAGCAGAAACCCAAACCTCAAGCAGTGAAGCTTACTTGCGGCACTTGCTTGACAATTTAGGTCCAACGCTGCCAAGTGAAACCCCAATAAGCATGACCGAAGCCTAATTCTGCCACTGGCCTAGAAATTTAGGTTCAAAATTTTCAAGTGGAAACCGCACAATTAGAAGTGGAGCATAATTCTGGCTCTTACTTAGAAATCTAGGTACAAAGTTGCCAGGTGAAAATCGAAAAATCACAAATGAAGTCTAATTCGGACACTTGCTTGGCAATTTAGATCCAACGTTGCCAAGAGAAAACAGAACAAGTAGGGACCATATTCACGAAATGACCTTACGCCAAAAAAGTGTGTACGACAAAACGAGCGAGCAAATTCATATTCACGAAGCGAAATGTTCGTAAGTTTTGCGTGGTTACGCCTGAATCCTGCGGCAGCACCAGAGCTGTCTTGCGCACTTTTTTACAATGAAATGAACGTGGCCGACATTGGCGCTCAGTTACTCATAGCAACGCGCGCCCCAGCATCAAACAGCAAGAAATAATAAGTATTCGAAACCGCCCACGACCGAGATGAACGCTGGATCTAAAGGCATCAGGAAAAAGCTAGAACGCAAAGATCCTACCGACCAAGCGACCGCCAAGAGCTGGATCTGCACTAGGCCTTGCAAGGCACTCCGGCGCAGCGTTGCTCGGACGGTCCCTGCGGCCAAGACAGTTTTCCCACAACCGACTGGCTTGCCGAATGAAATATGTCCACACAACCCTTGGGAACCTTTCCCGTAAAAATAGATTCATCGCTGACCTTAATTTTCGCTTAAGAGGTCAGCCGCTTCCCCTTGTCATCGCCTTGATTCCAGAGGCAGCGGTGGCGAACGCCCTAGTCGGAAAGGGACAGCTCTTATCGGTTCTATATCCTTGTTTTGTGTGATATTGCCACGCGCGTGGGCGAGCTTGACTTTCACGCGGAAGGTATAGGTTCGATTCCAGTCAGCGGACTGTCCTTATTTATTCTTTCAACTTGGGCCTCTCGTAAGTTCGAGAACATTCTCGCCTGATCGTGTTCCGATTGCTATACGCACCGAAAGTTCTACGCCGAATAATCCAGAAACCAACGCGGGTACATAAGGGGCTCCGCAAGGAGAGCGGAGTCAGTCTCGCCCCAGCGTGCTCTTTCGCCGACTTCGACGCCCGCGACGCTCTGCTGTTATCTTCTGTTTCCTTTTTATTTTTTGGGCACAAGTTCGCCCCCATTAAACGCTTAGTTTCTTCAGTTATTGTCGCCTCATCACTTGTCATTCGTGACAATATAAAGCACTAATAAACGTCGTTTGAATTACCTTCGCAACATATGGTACGTACGCTTTGTTATTAGTATGCCATTTTTATTCGGGCACGATGGTACGTTAACACTGTTGAGCTAGAGCAGCTCGTGAAAGCTACGCGATGCCAGTTCAACCTTCCTCTGCCGAGTGTTACGGCAGCATCGAGTTGTAATTAAAAGCGATCGGTCCCGAAGCGCTTACCAAGACGCGCTTTAACAGCGCGGTTCCAGCGCTTAGATCAAACACTCGCATGTCCGCTCCCAGTGTGAACAGGTGCTGAGTTGCTCTTTCAGGCGTTCTCGTAGTTCAAACTTATCTTCTTGGACGTCGGGTCTCTCTTGCACTCCCGAGGCCGCGAAAAACACCATGGCGATTTGTTTCTATGTGCGCTGCTTTAAAAACGAGCGCCGCAGGCCGTCTCCTTTTAGCGACGATGATAGTTGGGATGACCTCGTAACGATCGAGTTCGTATTAGTCGACGAAGGCGGTCAGCCCGGCCTCGGGATTCTGGCCCGTTTATGTTGTGGTAGTGTCGACAGTTCACTGCGCGGACACGATCCCCAGACAAGCCGTGGCAGAAAGGCCGCCTGCGTTCTTTGCTATTCAGAATCCATGTGCTCCGAACAATGCCGAGCCCTCTGATTGATAGCTTGTGTTGCCGAAGCCGCTGCCGTCATATTAATAGCCCGATATTGCGTACGAAAGCTGCGCTCTCATCCTCTCACTTAAGAATGCCTTCTTGAATACAGATTTCTCCACTTCTCAGGATGTGCGTAACTTACGAGCAAATCTTAGCTAATTTGTAGCTCTTCTAGAATCTGGCCTCAGAATGGAAGCCTAATTCTTGCACTTGGCTGGCAATTTAGGTCAAATGTTGCCAGGTTAAACTAAACAATTAGAAATTAAGCCTATTTCTTGCACTTGGTGGGGAATTTAGGTTCATAGTTGACAAGAGAAAACCGAGAAATAAAAAGTGAAGCCTAATTACAGTGGCCTAATTCTGGCATTTGCTCGGCAATTTAGGTCGACATTTTTCAGGTGAAAACCGAAAAATCTTGAGTGAAGCTTAATTCTGACTATTGCTTGAAATTTAAGTCAAACGTGGACAGGCGAAAACCGAAATATAAATAGGTCCAAAAATGCCAGGTGAAAACCGAAATCTAACAAGTAAAGCCTATACAGTGGCCTAATTCTTGCACTTTCTTGGCAACTTGGGTCCACATAATTGCAATGGCCCAAATCTGGAACTTTCTCGGCAACTTAGGTCCAAGTTTGTCAAGGGGAACCGACAAATAAGGACTGAAGTCTGATTCTGACACTTGCTTGGCTATTTAGGTCAAAAGTTGACAGGTGAAATTCGAAATTTAAGTAAAGCTTAGTTACATTGGCCCAATTCTAGCACTTGCCTGGCAGTTTAGGTCTAAAGTAGCCAGGCGAAAACCGAAAAATCAGGAGTAAAGCTTAATTCTGGCACTTGCTTGGCAATTCAGGTCCAAAGTTGCCAGGTTAAAACCAAAAAAAAATCAGGAGTGAAGCCTTATTCTGATAGGCTTGGCAATTTAGGTTCAAAGTTGCTAGTGAAAACCTAAAGATCAGGAGTGAAACCCAATTCTGAGACTTGCTTGGCAATTTATGTCCAAAGCTGCCGGGTGATAAATGAAAAACCATCAGTGAAGCCTAAATTTTGCAGTTGCTTGGCAATTTAGGTCCAAAGATGCCAGGTGAAAACCGAAATTTAAGAAGTAAAACCTATTACAGTGGTTTAATTCTTGCACTTTCTTGGCAATTTAGGTCCAAAGTTG